GCCCCTCCCCAGAGAGCATTTCGGCTCCCTGGCTGGGCACTGGATCCAGACGCATGCCTACTGCTAATAATCGGATACTGAGCTGGTGGAAAACGTCCTGTAAAAGGTGCAGGACTCTGGTCTGCGAAGACTGCTGTTCCTTCCCTCTGGGGAAGAAGCTTCCTCCTCTCTTTATGGTTGTTATTCTCGAGAAGAGGTGGAGCTGATCTGGACTTGCTTTCCAGTGTGCCTTTAAAGTTACCAGAAACTGAACTTTAAATGTAATGTGCTTTGCACATCGCACATACTTGTTTCATTTGTTCAAAGTTCAATATCATGTCCTATTTTGCACTAGAAAAATTACTAAAGGGATTCTTTTTCTCGAGCAAATGAGGATCCTTCCTCAACTCAACATGACAAAAAAGGCTAAAAAGCACATCTAAAAACATTAATGTTTCCTGTCATCGTCAGGAGCTGGAATTACTAAGAATGACAACGTTTCCACTCAGATGAGCTAATGGCCAATACGATATTTACTATATCGTGCAGTTAGTTCAGTCTTCTCTTCTCGTGTGTTCAAAAACATTTCTCTGGTAGTCTGTAACCTGCTGAAGTTTAACTCCCATATATCACCTGAGTCATTAGCTGAATTACTGTCGCAGCAAGAGTAAGTTATTAACGAAGGTTACCTCACAGGAATTTTTACTGGAGGCCGATCTGTGACTTGCTTGCGCATTTACTTGTTCCGGGATAAACCTTATCCCTATTTTTAGCAGGATATCACAATAGGGATTTTGATAGCAGATAAAATACGGGATTGTTTCGTAATTCAATTTAAAGTTGAAACAAGATGTGCTTTGCAAAAAAACTCGACTGTGAAAGAATGTTTTCACATTTTTACGGATTGTTTTAATGATACTTTTGCACTGCAATTAGATCACATTACTGTACATTCCTGCTTTAAAGTATACACATTAAATGAATGCCTGTCCAAATTTTTTTGTAATTGTTTCGTCTAAAAAACGTTATAAAATTGAGACAGTAGGTGTATTGATACAGGAAGCCTTAAGAGAAGCTGAGGCGAAGTACAGCTGACAAAACGTTATTTGATTTAACGGGCTTTAATTTAAGGAAATCCGTTAGAAACGCTCAGATTTCGTGTGGAGCTGGAAAAGGCACGGCAGAGAAACACCCTTATCGCCTGTTTCGACAGCTTTCTCAGCGGGGCTGCTTTAAATAATGTTTGATAGCGGGTGTTAAAGTTTACCTGGCTGTCCAAGCAAAGGAGTGGCCTGTTTGTCCGACTGCCATCGCAACAGGCGGCCTCATGCTAAATCAAAAGTTCAGAAATGGCTTAAGGAGCAGCGGCTCGTCACAGGTAGACCGAAGAGGGAGCGCACCGAGGTAAGAGCCTGTCTTTCCTCTCCAAACGTTTACAACGATTTTAATCAAGAAATAATGTGGGGAAAGTGTACATGCACGTATTTAAAATAGTTACCGTTAAAATACGTTAAGGAAAAATGAAAAGAATAAACATAAAGTTCCGACGGTACCACACAGCTACAGTGTTTCCACAGCCGAAACGATGTTTTTCCTTCTCATTTTATGTGCGTGGAATTAACATTTACTTGTCCTTTTGTAGCCAATGCACGCTGACACAGCTCCCCACTCGTACATACACGAATGTTTGTTTCTTCTTTCTTTCTAGGTCGATTTATCGATTATTCGATCGAGTTATTAAAATAGAGGGATGCCTTACCTTAATTAATGGGCTTTAATTAAGACTTGAGTGTCTTAATGAATTAAGTTAACAGTCTCGCCGATATTCTAATGAAATCGGATTGATAAGGATCTAGACACAGGATTCAGTGAAAGTCTGCCCTAGATCTTCCCTCTTTTAAACATTTTTTATTTCTAAAAATATTGCTAATGCAGACTAATGGTAGCTAAAATTAATAACGTTCGCTATACAGTGGAAAGGTATTAATTCATTATAAACATATATATATGTATTTATTTATTGGCACACTGTTTATGTAACCCAACAGTTTTCCATTGATAATGATTTATGCAGGATTTGTTAGCCAGAAAACGTATAGACTTTGCAGTTGTACACTGATCTGCTCGCTATATACATTCTATATAAATCCAATATCAAAATAAATATTTTACCAAATAAATTTAATTAGTTAAAAAAATGCTTTGTGAGTATTTACATAAAACGTTGTTGTAGAATTTTGTTTTTACTTACGAAGTCATTTCGTTACACATGAATTTGTCGTGAATTTCTGAAAGTATTCGATGAACTTCTCAACTGTCAAAGGCTTTCCGTTTGGTTTAAACTATTCCGTCTCCAAATCACGCTGTTCTCGCGTTTTATATTGTCAGCAATTAAAAAAGCCCAAAAAGATAAATGTCTTAATTGGACCATGTTTTACTACCTGTATTTAGTTATTAGTTCACAATTTCCTGGAGGGTCAGCCTGCCTGTGGATTTTTCAGGTCTCTTGAAAGCATCAGCCCACGACGAGCTGACAGGAGCTGGTAAACTGGCACAAATAAGACAATGAGCCGATGGAGTTGTTAGGAACACAGTGCTACCAAAAACCTGTGGACACACAGGTCTTCCAGGATAAAGATCCCTGGATGAAGGGAACACATTCAGTAGAGGATATGATGACAGTTTTACTTTGAAGTCACCACCACATCGTTTCTTTACTATTACCAAAATTACATTCTTTCAGCTTGGCGGGGCTCTCGTGTAATTTTAATATAAATGTTAAATACTTAATTTTAACCAAAAACATGAGGTTAGTCGCTGTCAGTCAGCGTCTCGGCAACAGCCTGGAGCAGCAACTGGAGGGGTCATTCAGCAGAACCAGGATGTTCTGAAGTCTGTCATTGTTTAAAGCCGATTCAGATTAGAGGCACTTTTAATGCTCAGAACTAGAACATTTCACTAAACAAGTACTGGAGTAGATGTATATATGTTCACGTCTGTAGTAATTGTATTTTACCAGTATTACAGGAATTCCATTAAGTTTTAAGAAAACAATTGCATACTTTTTACTATTTATTTAAAAAGTGGGACTCCTGTCACTTTAAAATTGGTTTGTGTTTAATTCTTCTCGCCATTGTGAGAGGCCTCGTTATATTCCCTGGTGGTCTATACTGAGATTGGCCCCGCTCAGAGCATGGAGGAGCAGAGCGGGTCTGTCCTGTCTCAAAATCCAAATAACCGCTGTTTTAAACATCAAGCCTCAAGGATTTCACAGCGAAGTGAGTTTTTTCTTAAGTTACTGTAAAATCAGATCAGTTCTGGGATAAGAGGAGCAAGTCCTTCCCCTTGTCTCAGTGGTGGAAGTGATGAGGATTGTTATCTCACATTACCAAGAGCTTGGTGAAGCTTTTTTGTTCTCCTGAGCTCAGTGTGACAAACAGGTTAACTGCAGGGTATCCCTCGTCTCACCACCTTCTGCCATGCTGACACGCAGGTGCTACCCTGTCCAGTTAACACCACTTTCCACAGACCTGTTGTAGCACACATTTTAAGAAAGGTTCAAGTCTTGCCTAATGCTGATCTTCCTAACACATTTGAATGGAGGCCTATTTGCTTTGAATACACTTCAGGATGTCATCTGCTGTTAACTACTACAGAGAAATGTTAATTTTATTGTTCTATGTTAATTTTATTATTTTATTTGCTTTGGCTACACTGATTGTACCCATCGGTCATGCTAATAAAGCACCTTGAATTGAATTGAATATCGAAGATGACGGATCTTGATGTAAAACCTGAAGAAAGTGGTTCTTTGAATCGTCTTGGGATTCAGCATTCTTTAAGATTAAATAAATGATAATGAAGTCTGTCTTTAATGGTCCAGATAAAAAGTACTGCCTTCCTCTGGTGTCTGTTAAGGGTTGCTGTACAGTGAATGGTCTCCTGGCTGTGTGAACACCACTGCTGAACTGGTTCAAGTGTGCACAAACCCGTGACTTTACAGCTGCACTGTACATGGATACATTTACAGTTTATGCAAAATACACTGCAAAACGCATCTTTTTATCCCCATAACTGTACAGTGCAAAGCTCATCTCTACTATATTTTAGGTGGGTAGCTGCGTCAGCATGCCTAGGCTGCAAAGGAACAAGTAATAGGTTTATTCCATGCTGAAAAAAAGAAGAAAGAGAACACAACGTTTCGGCCGTGGAGCCTTCTTCAGGTGAAGAAGGCTCCACGGCCGAAACGTTGTGTTCTCTTTCTTCTTTTTTTCAGCATGGAATAAACCTATTACTTGTTCCTCTACTATATTTTAGTCTAGGTCTGTGAAGCAACACTGGAATTTTGACATGCCCAACTTTCACATGCAAATCAAAGGCAGATACCTGAGTGAGATTTCACTCTGCAGTGGTAGAAACCTTCCTGAATGAACTATTATTACTGCAGGTGCTTTGTAGAAATGCAGTCACAATGTTGACAGTCACTATCGGTCATTCTCCTCATCTTCTCTGGTTGTTTTTTTTTCTCTATTTTTAGCGGAGTGCCCAAATTATTTTGTATTTTACTGTGAAGAGGAACTGCCTTCCAACCAACAGAAATGGCAGCTGCCAGTTCGGTAAATCCCTTCCTCCTTTCCCTACTGCTCTGAATATCTGGGTGTCTGTGACACTGGGGTGCTCTTACGAAGACAGGGTGAAAGGTCAGTAAGTGGGGCTCACAGGTGGAAGGTGTGCTCTCTGATTCATCTTGTAGTTTTGGATTGAAGACTTCCTATTTCCACAGTTATTAAATTCGCTTCATCTTAATATTTTGGGGGTAATTTTTGATGCCTGTTACTGCATTGAAGGAAGAGTAGTCTGTTGTTCCTTTTAGAGGTGAACCAATGGGAAATGATTACCTTGGTGCTACACAGCTTGTCCAAACAGGAGCCTAACGCTCTGCCTTCTGCAAATACACCAGAATGCAGGAGTGGATGAAGGAGCTGATAAGCCATTTGTTCATGGAGGCTGTGAGAAGCCACAAGGGCTTCTTTAGCTGGGAGGGATTCACTGGCCGGCAGCATCAGTTTTCGATAAAAACACCAGGAAATGAGAAGGAGCTGTACTGACAGAGACCAGCACAGGCCTGAAGATGGTGTTATAATGGCATTGTCTAGGCCACGGATGTTTTTTCTCTTCGTCAATAATGTTTCTTGCATGTGTATGGCACTGTTCAACCAAAGCTGGTCAACGTGCATCCAACCTGCAGTGCAGCTCCTCCTGGGAGATGCACAGCGGGTCTGGGAGAGGAGTGGGAAATTGCTTGAAGGGGTCTGATTGTTCAAACCTAGAGTGGGATCTAGCCAGGACGCTCGAGTTAACACTTCTGCCCAGATGAATAGCAGTGTTTGATCTTTCGTGAACAAGTAGTCAGAACCGTGGTTTGAAGTCTCATCTGAAGGAAAGCCCCTCTGGCCGCCCAGTGTCCTTGGCATTGGTTTGGGAGCTGTGGTCCGGAGGGAAGAGCGCCACCTACTGGTCCACCCACACCACATGCCCCAACATGGTTTTCTCCCCCATCCCAGCACCTGCTGAGCTCCTGAGATCTGAGCAGACGGGGCTGAGGGGTGGTGACGCAGCTCTTCTGATCTTACTGTAATTTATTGCTTTCTGGGGACATTTGTGTATCATGGGGGAAAATGCATGTAAAGGGAAGCATTTTGGTTTTGTGATGTTTGAGTTGCAGGATTTAAGTTTTTGTATCCCAGAGCCCTGAACTATAAATACAAGCAAGAACAAAGCTTTACCCAAAGAAACACAAATCTTATATACACGATATAATGAGCCAGCTCATGTTTCATCTTGTCAAAAAGCGGGTATTGTTAGGCATCATGTGTTACAGGCACCTCCTGCCTCTGCAGGCTGCTGTATTAGGAGAACGTCTCTCCTGGGTCTTGTCTCTCATGCAGCTCATTCCTGTGTCTCTGCTCTTGTCCCTGCAGCCGCCAGGCCTCTGCTACACGAACTGTGGGTTTCAGCAGGAGCAGGAAAAGCCGCCCCCCTATTCCTCACGCGGGGCCCTGCCGCCATACAGCCCCCCGCCGGCCCCCCCAGCCCCCGTGCCCCAGTACGCGCCGCGCCTGATCCCCACCCATTACTCCTCGACGCAGTGGCAGCCACCCGCTGCCCACAGCCACACAGGTAACCCCAGCTGGCACCCGGGCAGCCTCAGGTGACCCCGGCAGGGCTGGCGCTGTGCTGTAGACACGCCCCGAAAGAAATCGTCAGTCTGAAGGGTTTGTCGGGGTCAGCCTAAGAAATCAATCAGCTACCGATGGAGGAGCGACAATGTGGAAACAGGCCACACACAGACACATTCTGCTTGAAGCCCACTGGTGGTCAAGAACCCAAGAGAACCTCTTCCACAGCCCTGAGGCTTCTTCAGAGTCGACAGAGACTCATCTGGAGGGCAGCAGTGGAACCATGTGGAAGTGCTATAAAAACCAGGAACAGGAGGCTGGATGAAATCCTTGAGTTAATTAATTACTAAATCCCAGATGGCCTCCTCTCATTTGTGGCATTTCTTCTATTTTAAACAAAATGAGCTCACTCCAGATTTCTCTCTTTCAGCTGTCAGGAACAGACTTTGCTTGGTGGCATCCATCATCAGTGTGTTAATTGTTCTAGCGACTGCAGGGACCGTTGTCTGGTACTTCGGTAAGTAGCACGGGTTCTCTTCACTTGGCTGCCTTCGACCTTTGTTCGATCTTGGAACAAGTGACAGAACACTTCCTTGAGCGTGACTCAGGTTTCGTGGTCTGTTTTCGAACAATAAATGGAACACTTTCCTGTGTGTGACTCAGGTTTCTTATCAAATTAAGTTCTTATTAACTCTTGCTAGGAGGAAACAAGGTAAAATAATAGAAATTAGTCAAAGGGCTTTAACTTGAATAAAAAACAAGCAAAATCATGTTTTATAGCACTGGGAAATGAGTAGAAATGAGTAGAAAGAAACAAATCCAAACCAATTAAGTATGAAAAATCTAAAGCTATGCTGCATCACCTGCAAAACCCGGTTACCTGGCTTCTAAAGTCTCTGTTATTAAGTTTTCATATGCAGTAATGGAATGACTTTCTTTTCAAAAGCATTGCCTTTAGATACTCACCTGATGCTCAGATTCATACACACTGAGCTACTGTGTGTCCTCCAGCCCCACTGCCTGGGTGACAGAGCTGTGCAGTGCTGACCACTCCCTTTGTCTCCCCAGTGTCTTCTACCTGTGTGCTTGGAGTGTTCTGCCAGAGGTCACAGCTGTGCATCGGCGCCTCTCAGTGGTGCGATGGAGTGAGGGACTGCCCTGGGGGCGAGGATGAAAATCAGTGCTGTAGGTGTCTGTCGGTCTCTGTGCGCAAACCTTCAGGTGTTTGCTTCAGCTGCGAACCTGCTTGCGGTGCTGTGCAATCGTCCTGTGTGCAGATCAGCTCCTGGAATGTACAGGCCTGCTTCTCAGAGCCCTGCTGTGGGAAAGAGCTGCCCCACTATTGTATCGCATAAAGGAAAGAAGGAACATCTGTGTCTGCAAGTGGCCTCGTCTTCTGCCATTTCCTTCTTTTCATTTGGCGTGTTCCACTTTCTTCTGCCTCTTTGTAGCACTGATGCAAACATTAAGACATTCTGTTGACAAGCTCCAATTTCATATTGAAAATCTAGACCAAAAAGGAAACTTAGCCATTTTAATTCAAATTTTCAGTTCGTTGTGAAGATGATTTCTTGCAATATAAGGGCTGATTAGTTGAAAGTCGTTTGGTGCAGCACAAAGGGTCTGGGACATTACAAGTGCTCCGTAAGCCGGAAGGGTTTTGGGAAGCACAGGGTTAAGGAAAACCTGTTGTAAATGCAAGTGGGGATGGTGCAACAATAGGTGGCGCTGTTTCCTCTAGATCAGAATTTCTAAGCCAATGCGGTAGTATAGTGATCTGCAGCACCTGGCAAACCACTATACTGGGGCATGAGATTAGACATTACACTGAGGACTAACGTACTGACAACTTGCTCATTGAAAGATACCAAGGCTCTGTAAGAGAAGAGGTGTTAAACCTGCTGTCCTGGCTAATTTCCGCTCTGGAATTATACAATCTGGCCTCCCTGTATTTCTCCATTCATTCTATCGGTGAAGTAATTTGTCCACCTGCTGTGCTGTGTGGTGGGGCTGCACTTCAGTGGAGGAAGGAGAGGGTACCCTTCTCTATCCTCTTTGGATTTTTTTAAGATTAAAAATCCTATGTGATTATTAAGAATGTTTGTTATAAAGGATATTCCTGTTTCACCAGCTATACTTTTCGTTATTCATCTTCAAATCCCGTTTACCTACTTGTGTGTGTTTGTGTGTTTTGTAGTGCGGCTCTATGGCTCCAGTTTCCTTCTGCAGGCCTATTCAACTAAGAGCAGGTCGTGGAAGGCAGTGTGTGCTGATGGCTGGAATGATGTCTATGGGAAAGCTGCCTGTGAGCAGATAGGATACAGCAGGTTGGCATGGGATTTCTATTTGATCCAAGACACAGCTCTGGAATATCAGCTGATGTTTAGCTGTGGACATGGAGTCTTGACTCTTGAGTCATCACTTAGTCGTCACTTGATTCTTTGAAAGCAAATGTGAATTTTTTCTTTCCTGTCTGTGGTGGACATTTGCACGTAAAAGACACTGAGTTTCTACTGGAGGGATCAGAACGCCTTTATACAGGCTGTCTAGAATTATAATAAATGTTTGACTGGGGACTGAAAACTGCTATGGCCATATGTCATGTCTTTAAAATGTACCATGGATTTTGAAATAAAGGAAGAGACAGGCAGCAAACCCTTGATTTATGAATTTATTGCTATTTTCTTTTTTCACAGGCGCACATATGTCTCTTCTGGAGCATTGAAACAGGACAGTAGTGGCTCACAAGGCTTCTTCAAGCTGGTGCCAGGGCTGGGCTCAGGTACAGTCCTGCAGAGACAGCTGTCCAGCAGGTCAGTGAGAGCTGTGCTTCACAGTGCTGGTCTCTAGGAGTTGTAGCAGATGCTCAGATACAGTACCTGCATTCACCATGGATGGACACACCACCCTGTTGGTCTTCTTTTTATCACCTGCTATTGTACACCATGAGAGCGTACTGCCACTGAGTTCGTTTTCACAAAATTTACATTTTTGCTGTATTTCCTTTCCTAACGTCACAGGTTAGATAAACTACTAATTAGTCAACCATTGTAATTAATTAAATTGCTACATTAACGTATTCAAGCTATTTCTGACATTTAATTGTAGTCATTTTATTTTTTCCTTTTTTCAGTTTCCACATTTTACTCTAAATACAAGCTGTAGTTAACAGAACTCCAAAGTGCTTTCAATTATAAAAAGACTTTATCGGATTGTTATCTCTTCTTAGGTGCATTTCTAGTCTTATCATGATCTCCACTGTGGATGCACAATGTAAGCTTCAAAGCAAAACAACATAGTTTCCAGTGGGGTTTCAAAACTAGATAAATATCCTCCCAGCTGAGATTACATTGGATTGTAAGAACCACCAATGTTGTAGTTCAGAACTTTAAAGTTGAGGGACATGAATCTGACAATGACAAACGAGTCATAAAATCAAAAGCTGAAAGCACTCGGCTGACTGCAGTTACAGAAACCCTGTGTGATGCTATTGAACAAAAACTGTCTGTAAACGGCGACCTGATTGGCACTTTTCTTTCTTACAGCAACTCATGCGCCAGCGACGCAGTTGTCACACTGAGGTGCATCGGTAAGCAATCGCTGTTGCAGAGTACAAATCCACTGGAGACCTTTTGCCGAGCAGAAGAGGAGTTTAGTGTATATTCAGCTGAAGAGAAGCTCCCTCCTTTCAATTAGGAGGATGGTTCTGACCAGAAAAGTTACAGCTGGCCTTTCATACACTTACTTAGTCTCATAAAGGAAAACTTCAGTCATATTTAATTTCTGTTGGTTAAGACAATCATAAGATGTCTACGTCAATGAGCTTCATCTGTATTTTCTAAAAGCAGGTAGTTGTGATTGGCCTTCTACACAAAAACAGTTCTTTGGGACCATTAAAACAAGCGCTCTTTGTGTCTGCCCCTAGTCTTATCAACAGCAGATACACTTGATGCTGCAGCTGGTGTTTTGCTGAACATGGTGCACAGAGAGTGTAACCCTCCGCTGTGTTCTGGGCACGTGTGCGGTAGAGCCGGCTGCTTGAACTGACGCAAACCCCAGTCGCTCTTCTCTCGGGGCTCGGTTGTCCCCAGCCGCGCGGGGAAAGCCAGATTCTCCCGGGCAGCGCTCACGGTGACCTGTCTGTCGGCCCCCAGCCTGCGGAGCAAGGAGGGGCCCCTCTGCGCGGATCGTCGGGGGGGAAGAAGCCAGCCCGGGGGAGTGGCCCTGGCAGGTCAGCCTCCAGGTCCGGAACTCGCACGTCTGCGGCGGCTCCATCATAACGCCGGACTGGATCCTCACGGCCGCGCACTGCGTGGAGAAGTAAGGCTCTCCTGGGGGGCGGAGCGGCCGCCGTGCACAGCGGCCAGGGTCTCAGCGCTGTCTGTCCTCCTGCCCTGCAGGTACTCCAGCCCCGGGGACTGGACCGTCTCTGCCGGGGTGCTCACCCTGTCTGCGACGAGAAGGGCTCCCCAGTACACTGTGTCCCACATCATCTCCAACAGCTACGACACCGACACGAAGAACAACGACGTAGCCCTGATGAAGCTGCACACCCCCCTGCAGCTCTCAGGCAAGTGGATCAAGCTTATTTTAAAACAGAAATTCGGTATGCATAAGCTTCTGAAGAGTATTCTATGGTTTGCATTCATGACATCTCCGTGAGTGTGGTAGAGGAGGCGGTGGCATGGTTCTGTGAACGTGCAGTAAGAGTACGCAAAAGATTGCAAATGAAAAAAGGCCTGCTTGAAAACTCGATCAAATGCAGATATTTCTTGTAGCATGTTGACCAGATATCCTAAATGTGGGTTCACTAATGCATTCTACAATTGTGACACAACCTTGTTATTAAAGTTTCTTTTTTATATATGTTTAATTGATACCACACAATGTCTGAAGGCTAAAAAATAATTGTTCATATAAACACCTTTTTCAGGTTTGGTATCTCCCAACTTCCATTTGTAGTTTACATTTTCGCTGCCTACATTGTAATACTATGCAGTCGTCTGCATTGAATTTAATCTACTGAATATTGTTTAAGTCTTCAAGAATTATTTCTTTTAAATTTTTGGTGTTTTCTAATTTTCCTCACTTGACCTCATTTGCAAATTTGACTAGTTGACTAACTGTAGCAGAATCTAGATGATTGGTATTAATTAAGAAGAGCTGTGGTCCCTGTGGTCCTCCACTTATTGATACACCCCAGTTGAGTATTCACCCCTTATCTGTCCTTTCAGTTTCCTTAGAGTACAAAATAAAGTAAATTTCATAGACCAGTATTGCCAGGTGTTTTCCACTGGTTACAATCAGGAGGAAAAGGGTTGAATAAGCAAACTGCAGATATAGTGTGTCATTTAAACACAACCTGCTAAACACAACTGAGACGAGAAGAGTCAGGGTCCCCTGGGTAGCTTGTGCTGTCACCCCAAGGGTGTGTGTCCGATTGGTAGATTCATGTCGTCTGACAGGGCAGGTGCTTCAGTGGCACCTGGGTGAGCGGGGCTGTGAAACGAGACGAATGGTGGGCTGCCATCATGTGATATTACTGTGATATTGCCGGGGGGGCATTAGGAGAGGTCAGAGGTTTCTTGCACGATCATGTTTTGTTTTCTGGGGGTGGAGGCTCCATTTTTCTCTTTCACACTCATTTCTCAATTTCTCACATTCCCCGTCTCCCTCGCCCTCCTGCTAGCGCCGCGCCGCTCTGGGTCCGGCACAGCCCCCTCCCGAGAGCGCGGGCCTGTCCGGACAGAGCCCAGAGCTGCGCAGGAGCTGCAGTCCGCCCCTGCTCAGCGCTCCAGAGCTTTCAGTTTCGTTTCCTGGGCAGGGGGAGGTCTTATTTGAAAGCACAAGGAAAACTTTGAGCAGGTGTATCAGGGATCCACAGCGGTATTCACATTGGTTTCGATTTCTTATTTCTTCTTCTCGCCATGCCTGCACTGGCCCATGGAGATACCATGACAAATGTTAAACAGGAAAGTGTATTGTATTCCACCACGGTATTTCCATGCTCCATTGAAGTCCCACAAAGGCATTAGAAAACCATGGGAAATAATTCATAATAATTATAATAATTGCTTACACTTATATAGCGCTTTTCTGGACACTCCACTCAAAGCACTTTACAGGTCATGGGGACTCCCCTCCACCACCTGGATGATGCGACGGCAGCCATAGTGCGCCAGAACGCTCACCACACACCAGCTCTCAGTGCGGAGGAGAGCAGAGTGATAAAGCCAATTCATAGATTGGGATTATTAGGAGGCCATGATTGGTAAGGGCCAATGGGAAATTTGGCCAGGACACCGGGGTTACAGCCCTACTCTTTTGGAGAAACGCCCTGGGATGTTTTAATGACCACAGAGAGTCAGGACCTCAGTTTTACGTCTCATCCGAAGGACGGCGCCTGTTTACAGTAGAGTGTCCCCGTCACTATACTGAGGCATTAGGACCCACATGGACCACAGGGTGAGCGCCCCCTGCTGGCCCCACTAACACCTCTTCCAGCAGCAACCTGAGCAATCATGGCAAAACTATGATACAACCATTGTAAGCGTACAATATTCTCTAAAAGGTAAATGTTCATGAGGGAGGCTGGGTTCCTGAGCCCAGCGCAGACAAGGTGGCACTGCTGATCGGAATTATCACCTGTATGCAAGAAGCCAGACGGATTCTGCTCTGTGGAGGTGTCAGGGAAAACACTGCCCAAGTGTATCAGGAAAGTGAAATGACTGTTTCCTTTTCTCTGCTTGCAGGCACAGTAATGCCTGTGTGTTTGCCAAATGTGGGTCTTAACATCTATCCAAATCAGAAATGCTGGATATCAGGCTGGGGAGCAACGCGGGATGGAGGTACGATGGTATCTAACCTGTGCAGCACAGATGACTCTACTGACTGTAGCTTTTGAAGACCAAAACTGAAATTATCTTGGGGCTTCACATTTAACCTCTAGTCATGGTGTAATATCACTACACTACAACACAGTCACTAGAAACCAGAATATAGTGTTAATATTATAGTTATAGATAATAATGTGCAGAATTCAATTGAATTAAAGCTTTATCTTCCCTAGGGAGAAATTGGTGAAATGGCAGAACACAGCCAGGAGACAAGAGAGTTATTTTACATGATTTGAGAACAAGATTACAGAGTGGATGAATTATCTTCTAAGCCTATTAAAGTTACAAGTGGGGATAGAGAGGCGTTTTCCAGATGGAGTAGTGATTGTCAGCTAGATGTGATCTACCATGATCACTTTGCTGTTCATGTTTGCCTCAACCTGTTGCAATTTGCTGTAGTACTGTTGTTACCGAACCATTGGGAAAAGCAGTAAGATTAAACACTTCCAATAAATTGGATATTTACCAATAGATTGATAGGAAAGTGTTTAAATGTAGTAGTTACACAGAGTAACTGGAGCTGGTGTGGAGTCCAAAGATTTCTTTTTTATTTTAGGATCCTCTTCTGAGACTCTGATGAAAGCACAGGTCTCGCTGATTGACAGGGCGGCGTGTAACAAGCGCACAGTGTACGCTGGGCTGATAACCAACACCATGATCTGTGCTGGGAGTCTGCAGGGCGGAGTGGACTCCTGCCAGGTAACAGGGACAGCCTGTGCTAAGTGTGTGGACAGTGAATGTAGATCTGTAAAACCTGTAGCCTGTTTCCCTTCAGGAAAGGATGTTGACCACCCTGCTGTAATGTGCTCTTGTCACACACAAACGCGAAGAAGCCAGGTGGGGTTTCACTGTCCCCTCTGTGTTTGGGTGACCCCACACTGGGCAGGGGGTGGAAGTCTAATTCTGACTCTGTATCCCCCAGGGAGACAGCGGCGGCCCCCTGGTGGCTGAGGTCGACTCTCTGTGGTGGCTGCTGGGAGACACTAGCTGGGGATACGGCTGTGCTCTGAGGAACAAGCCAGGGGTGTACGGCAATGTCACCGCCTTCCTGGACTGGGTCTACCAGCAGATGCAGGTATGCTGAGCTCGGGCGCGTGCCCTGTACGTCACCGACCCATCAGAGCAGAGGGGAGAAGCAACGGCTTCTTCCCATTTGTTTAGAAGTTTTAACACAAACGCAAAATTCTTAATATGCTGTTTTTTTCTGGGGACAGCACGACATTAACTTACAGTACTGCTTGGGTTAGATATAGGGTGTCCCGAGGACACCATGTCCACCAGTGCGCTTTCTGACCGGGTGCGATTTGAAAACTGCCCTTAAGCTGAAGCGAGCCTGTGAGTGGAGTATGGCAGCTCTGCTCCATGACTGTGTGCTGTGAGCCTGCCTCTGCGTTCTCTCCCTGTCACAGGTCAGACTGAGGAAACAGCAGCTCAGTGTTGCTGGTTTTAAAACGAACAATAAAAGGACTGTACAAAAACATTTTTATTTTTTCTCTGTGAGTTAGTTAAGCTACAATAAAATAGTCAGTGTGGGAGAAAGTTAATTAAATTAAGTTAATTTAGGTCTGTTTAAGGGCATTTTAAAGATCCTATCTTGTGCACAGAGGTTTTTCTGCTGTTTGCTTTGGAAACAAGGTTTGGGTTGTGTATCACATAGAGTTTGAAATTTACACTGTGACAAAATGAGTTGAACACTCTGTAAAAGTGTTTTAAGGTCAGGCAGGCCATTTTTAAAACTATCGTTAGAGATATTTTAATGTTTCGGAGCTGATAGGTTACACGTGAAGTGTACGTGAAGGAAGATTAATTTTCATTTAATTTGGAGTTTTCCAAGCTTTTTTCCTAAGGGAAGTGCATTGTCTTTCAGAACAACCTCTGAGCAGGCGTTTTTCACGGAGCTGCTGCACAGGACCCTCGCCAGGGGAGCCCACTGCTGCCTCACTCCTGGACACGGTTTTGCAGAAAGAGAAGGACACTGGTTTTAAAAGTATTCCCTGCTATTTTAATTGCCCAGGACTTTGTTATTAGCAGTTATTGAATTCACTCGGGTTGAATTCCCAGGTTCACGGTCCATTTTAATGAATGCTGTACATACAGAAGAATCTGCGCCAGCGGCCAGGAGACAGCCCAGGCTTCAGACTGTGGACAGAAGCTGCCCTTCCAGGAGCTGACGGCGCTGGGCGACCAGTTGGCATGAGCAGCGTGATGCCCACCTCTAGGGTTCGCAGACGCTTGTTCCTGTGCAGCTCAGCTCCGTTATGCCCTCCTCACACAGCGTCTGTGCACATGGTCGCTGGAGCTGAGGGCCGGAGACAAGCAGGTGGACTTGTTCACATCTTAAATGCACTCGGAACGGGTACGGGTGGAGAAGTGGAGAGAGAGAAATACAGGTAGCTCACCAGCGCAGCGTCTTCAGGTGAGGCAGAGAGGGAAGGGTGGTGTGCTCTCAGGCAGGTCTCTGTAAATAACACAAGCACCTGTACAAAGCCCTGCGCTATGTAAGGCTTCTTTGAGAACCCCAGCCTTGTGCCCGGCCACAGTCTGTACCTTCTGGCACAGACTGTGGCGTAAGAAAGGAGGATTCCAGTAATGTATATGATCTGCAATGCAGTGACCTTGAAAGACATGAAGATATCCACTGAACCTCACTGCACTTCAGCTAGAGATAAATGTTCCGTGAAAATTCTGTATCTGTATGTGCAATTTGATCTGTTCGTGATTGTTCGTTTTTTATAGAGATAATTCTGCTTCCCTTTTCTACAAATACATAGGAAGGCACTGTATTATGTGGAACTTTAAGAAGCACATAAAATGGAAAATATCTGAAGTGCATCCATCTTGTATCTGATAAAATGGAGCATGTGTGACTCTCGTTGGAGTGCTTTGTGCTTTCATTATTCCTTTTGAGAAATTGTCCTGTTGTTTGTATTGCATATCATTGGCATCCCTGTACTTCTAATGCACAGTAAGCATCAAACCCCAGCCTAGAATCTAAAGGAGAGGTTTTAAATAGTCTAGAATACTGCGTCACTGTATCAGTGCGTCACTGTATCAGTGCGTCCCTGGCACTGGTTCATTGGGCTCTACTTCACAAGACTCTGCATCACTGGCCACTGCTCAGGAGCCAACAGAGCAAGCTGCCGCACTTCTAGAGGACTGAAGTGCCTAAGAAACATGGATTCTCGTGCGGGTTGAGTTTGTCTTTAAGAAATCACTATCATGCTGGTGTTGTGACTAGACTGTTTTGCAAATACAGTTTAAAGAAAGTAATGATATCGTAAAGTTTGCAAACAAGATAAGGCTGTTTGTTTTTTTAGTATGTAATTGATCTTAGGGTTTCAGCTGCTGTTTTGTGAAAGAAGTGATAGTATCAGCATCAACAACACAGCAGAATAGAGCCTGTTCCACATTTCCGTAGCCCTTTGTGTGAAGTAACCCTTCCTGTTCTCGGTTTTACATGCACCTGCACTTCATTTCCACCTGTGTCCTGTGTTCGTGTTTCACTGTTGAATCTGCAGGGCCTTTGGGGATTCTGAATCAGGTCTTCCATGTTGAAAAGATTGAGCTCTTCTAGTCTGTAAGAGTAGGCAAATACATTAAACCTGAGGATGTATTTCATTCAAATTTAAATTTTACTAATTCATCTAAAGATCCTGACTTTGTTTGCCCTTTTTACTGATTGCTCATATTGTCTAGAAGCTGAAACAGATTTGTCAAATTGGACACCTTAGTCTTTTACGTTAGTAGCTTCTGGCAAGCTCACTCTTTCATGTGTTTGAAAACTCCTAATTTACTTTCTCTTTCATATTCAATTTCATGGCCATGATTGGTCCATAATCACACATAAATTGTGGGTATTTATTTAAAGACATACGTTACTTGATTGATTAGATACTTATTGTTTAAGTTAGTGGGACTTGTTGCCTATAAGAACCTCTGTATGACATTGGCCTTCGTCAGGGATAATTAATAGTAATTTGGCTTGATTAGGGGGTAGAATAAAACAAGAAAACTCACAAGACAGCCTAAGTACTGTTGTCTCATACAAATGACAAAGTCCAGGTGTCTGTTTAGTAGAAGTCTCTATTTCATATACATATAGGAGAAGGGCTTGCAAACACCAAACTCCCCAAACAATACAAGAGTTAGTCTTTTATACCTTATCCTGAACAAATGATAAGACAACAACATATCCATATATGGTTATTAATCACATCTACATGAACTAATTTTTCTTTTGTACTCGCTTCAGCTTCAGAAAAAAACCCTCGACAGCAACAGGGAGAGAATAAGGCACTTTTTAGAAAAGAGGAGTCCTTCCCTCTGTTTAGAAGCAGCTGCCTAGCTTTTCCTCTCCGCCTCTGTCGGAGTTCCCCCACCTGGGAGTACCCAACACATTTATATATTTGAGTGCAAAGCCAACTGCAAGCCACTAGACTGCATAGTTTGCAAAAATACTAAAGTAATGTCATTATCTCACTTGTCTCTTCAGTACTGACAGAAAACAGACCACAGATTTGAAATCCTGAACAAAGAATTATTAGTCTTATTCCCCGCACTACAGGGAACTACACTACAGGGAATGACTGGAGGGGATTGAGAAATGTGCTAGTTTGAATAATGGGTGGTAACGTATTGAATTTCAAAAGTATAAATACAGACAAATTAGACGTCAGTATCTACTCTTGTGAACAAGATAATTCTGGCAGGCTTAGCTGTTTAAATCAAGTTTATTCTTCAGACAAATTCTTATTTTGTCATTGAATGTTTTGATCAGATTGGAAGAAATACCAAAATTTAACAGAACATTAAATAGGTAAGATTATTTTTACTTATCTCAGTTATTTAATTTTACAATATACTGTAGATCCTCCAAAATGTAAAAATCTTAAATCTGTTGTTAAAATGTTTTCCACATGGTTCTGTTCTGCCGGTGTAAAGCTAATATAAAATAAGATGTTGTTTTAATAATTTTAATTTAATTTTCAATATCCTTTGATTATGAGAAAAATCTTTGCTGTTGAATAAACACATTTTAAGTTCTGTTAGCAATAGGGGTTTGTCAGTTCTGTGACAATTAAACCAACGTGACAGATTTTGACAAAGTGACAGCAGACTGCAGAAAAGACAGGTCGGAATAATTATCTGCATGGGTCAAACTTTAATTTTATTTAGCTCCTCATCAAACCTCTTTTGCTCAGAGTGGATACAGCATTTGTACCTGTCAAACGACTTCAGATCATACTAGACCAAAAACAGTGAAATGCCTAAAATACCTCAGAGTGGAAAATTGTAAAGAGAAAAACAAAAGTTAGACCAAGACTTTGCCCATTCATGTGGTCTCATCCTTTTGCACATCATTATAACTAATGAACCTGATTGCCTGATTCATAATGGAAATTATGAACATTTTCCAGGAAGATTAAGATGTAGAGAAGACTGTTGCTTAATGGTTTATGGCAAGTGGCTTTAACAAATGCGCCACAAAGCACATAATGATAACTTTACTGTGCTGAATAGCAATAAACATGACAAGTTACAGTATTTAGCCCTGCTGAGCACTCCATCGATTGCTGATAGGGGCTGCATTAATGCTGAATGTGAACGCTGAGCAGGACATGCGAATATGAACCCCTAGATTTCCAGGAAGGGCCAGAAGAAAATGAGCTTCGGGCTGAAATGCACTACAGATCCCTCTGAAGGCTTAGGGGTCTGAAACTCATTTCCTGGAAGGCCTGATGCCATTAAAGAATTGGGACAGGAAAAGTCAAAACTGTTACTTTCAAAGAATTAGTTTAACCTTTATTCACCACGTACATTTCATGTACAAGGAATTTATGTACAAGGAAAATATAATTTTATATAATCTAATGTTATGTATATATATTTGATCATAATAAAACAAAACACACTTTGGTTTTAACCAAGTTATTTACAGTATTTGTTTGTATTGGGAGTCATTCCCTTTCGTTTTCTGAGTGGAAAGTCAGTATTTGGTTCCATATTCGTTTGTGGTAATAACTGCAGTCTGTGAGTCATTAATCAGACCTGTGAGTCATTAATCTGCCCCAACTCTTTGTTTAATCATTTGAGATGCTCTGCCAGGCTTTTGCAGCCCTTGTCAAGTGACTGTTCTTGCCTGCTGGGCTGTTCTGACTTCAGTGTTTTCTTCAGCTTGAAAAACGCTGTTTAGTTGGATTTCCATCTGAAGATTGACTTGGTCAGTCTTAAGATTTCACTTTTTTACTCCTGATGAACTCCATGGTTGTGTTGGCCATATGTTTTGGGTCATTGTCATGCTGGATGGACAAGCACCATCCAAGAGGTATGGACGTATTTTCCCCTATGGAAGCAGACAAAATGTATGGACATTCTTAATTTATTCTGCTGCGGCCCTCATTAGTTACATCGTCAATAAAATAAAAGCGAGGCAGTTATAGAGGTGACCATGTTTAACCCAGGCCAGGGTTCGGGAGGTGGTGCTCATTGTAGCATCTTCAGTTCCTTTCTCTCTCCACAGTTTAACCTTATCGTGGTCTCATTTGTCCAGAAATAACTCTCCTGTTTCATCTTTGTCTAACTTGGCTGTTCTTGGTGCTGATAAGAGGTTTGTATCATGCAGTAGGGCCTTAATGATTCACCTGACCAACAAGAGAAACCTGTAAGTATTGTCCCAATACTCTTTTTAAGATAATGAGGTTAAACTCGATCAAGGGACATTTTGGCTGTTTGAGTTGTGGTAGGGTTAGCAAATCGTTGGACTTCTGAAGGAGATGGAAGAGAAGGGTAAATAAGGTGGGGTACAGTGGTAGGGGATTAAATCAGTGTAAATTAGAAGCCTCATTAATACCGGTTTGCAACTGACACCAACACTTTCTGTCCTGTCCTCTACTGTATTGCAAGCTACAATACTTAGACAGTTTCATATTTATAATAATTGAAATTGTTTTCACTACTGGCTGCATGTTGCCCAACTAAATGTGTGTACTACAAAAGATCCTTTTTACATATCTTTACATATCATACATCTCCTTCCCTCTTTACATATCTCTTTACATATCATATTTCCTAGTTATACTCTCTTGCAGTCAAAACCTGTGGTTTCTGTGCCCAATAGAGAACATTCCTGGGCGGTATCTTGTAGGAAGCTCCACCCCAGTCACTCTTTGCTCATAGTATTGTTTCACCTGCTGCCAGGAAGTGCTTCATGTACAAACCTGGAGGCCCAGCCCAGAACAGTGTGTTCTTCCAAAACTGTTTGGAAATCTGCTTTGGAAATCAGATGAATCACAAAGCTGCAGTCAGAAGTAAAATATTTTTTTTTCTTTTCAATTAAGGTGAAGCCAAAGGACATGGGAATTGTCCTATTGGGAAATAATACAGGTTGGGATTACAATGACGCATCGGGATAGAGAAACCACTGATGCTCTAATACAAGTGCCTAATGAAAAGACTGAAGATAATGTCAAACTGTAGACCTCATGCTATACAGAATGGTGCTGGCTTGGTTCTTCACCGTTCAGTGATCGGAAGATCTGTAGAATCACATAGAGCCTGTTTCTCAACCCCAGAGTCACGATGTCTTGCATGCTGTATGGCCACTACAAGGACCAGGTGCGGCCCTTCATCGACGTAGTGGATCGTCTGCGGGCACTCGGAGTGGATCAGGAAGTGCCGCTGCCAACGGTAGCTGTTATTGGAGACCAGAGCTCTGGAAAAAGCTCTGTGCTGGAGGCGCTGTCTGGAGTACAGCTGCCAAGAGGCACTGGTATGGCTTCCGAACCTTCCTTTATATCGATTTGTCAAAATACCTGTTTTTTTATTTTTGTCTCCTTAATACTGCACTTCTGTCCTACTGATAACAGAGTCAATACTAGATGCAGTTGTTCACCAACGGGTATAACAATGGGTTGTTATCATGTCTGAATTAGTGCAGAGAATGAATATGTTACATTCACTTTCCTTCATTGTTTTTTGTTCTTTGAATCAAAGGAGTAATGACACGATGCCCCCTGGAACTGATCCTAAAAAACAGTAAAGATGAGACCTGGCAAGGAACAATATCTTATCGAGATAATGACACTGAACTGGAGTCTGCAGACCAGGTTGCTGATGAGATTATATATGGTATTCTTTATATTAATATTTCCTTAAATGTGTACATTTGTGAGTGACTCATCCATTTCTTAACAATCAGGAATGTAGCAGGTACACCTAAAACAGTAGTTTTTATAATTTTTTAAATTTACCCAAAAATACAAAAAATTAAAAGTGAAATAAATTCAAATTAATATAATATAACATTACTTTATTAACCCTTTACAATTTCTTGCATTAGGAATTATCTTTTCACATACACCAGCTTGCTCTCCATGAGACACACAGATAGGGAGAGAGCCTGGGGTCAGAGCACAGGGCCTGCCATTGAACAGTGCTCCTGGAGCAGTTGGGGTTAAGGATCTTGCTCAGGAGCCCAACGGAGTTGGATTCCTCTGCCAGCCATGGGATTTGAACCGGCAACTTTCCAGCCATAGGCACAGATCCTTAGCCACAGAGCCACTGCTCTGCCCCTGAGGGCATATGGCTGCAGTTGAGATCTGGGACTTGTAGAGTAGTTTCTAACCATCTCTTGTAACCATATCCTGTAGAGGTGAACTGTGTGTGGGGGTGGAGGTGAAGGTGAATCTACAGTATAAGCACTACAATGGAAAAGAAGCTTAAAGTTTGCAATTGAGTCTCTTTTTAAGGTGGTGTAGCCAATTAACTTTAAGCTTTCTCTGCCACTGATAACACTGTGTACCGTATTTCACAGCTCAGAATGAATTAGCTGGAAAAAATCAAGGAATCAGCAGTGAACGGATCACTCTTGTGATTGAATCCCACGATGTTCCAGACTTGACCCTCATAGACCTTCCAGGCATAACACGGGTATCTGTGGGAAGCCAGCCCAGGGATATTGGAAACCAGGTGAGGCGGAAACCTTGACTCAAGGAGAGAATTGTTGAGCGCCTCAGCTCTGGTGTGATAGTTTCAGTGAGGTGTGAGACAGATTCCGAGTGTCCCAGATCTTGGCGGCATCGTGATTGATCTGAGGAAAACTGCATATTAAATCATGCAACTTTACTGATTCATTCAGTTTTATTCCAACTGTTCTGTGTCTTTCCAGATAAAAGAGTTAATCAACACATACATCAACAAGAAGGAAACGATAATCCTGGTAGTTATTCCCTGTGCTGTAGACATTGCTACCACAGAGGCCTTGAAGATGGCCAGGGAGGTGGACCCAGAAGGAGAGAGGACACTGGGTAAGGAGTCCATTGGTTTTCTCTTCTGTCTTTCCACAGGTTCATGAGAGGGAATTTCACACACTTGTAATGAGGGGGAATTTTTGTTTCACGCAGCTGTTTTCAAAATACAAATCAGCCACATGGATAAAGATAAAAATACACTTAATATCTAAATGTTTGTATTTGCTGAAATTATGGCATTTCCTAATACATTGCCAATACTGTATATTAGCAGTGGCTGTTGCAGAATTTGGGATTCTAGTTTTCTTTTCTGTTTATAATAGGAGTTCTCACGAAGCCAGACCTCACTGACAAAGGGATGGAGGACAGGATCTGCAACATCCTGAAGAACAGAGTCATCTACATGGAAAAGGGCTACATGATCGTCCGATGCAGAAACCAAGAGGAAATTCGCAGCAGCATGCAACATGCTGAAGCAATTAAGGCCGAGCAAGACTTTTTTTTTAAAAGTCCCTTTTTCCGGTAGTTTTATTACTTGTTTTTGGATCTATTACATAAAAGAGGTGTTTGATAGATAGATACTTTATTGATCCCGTGAGGGAAATTGCAGTACAACAGCAGCTTTACACAGACAACACAGCCACAGTGTAATGAATTATACAATAATAATAATAGTACAATACATACAATACAATCAGTACAGTGAGGGGTGCACTAAAAGAGTTACTCACAGTCCGGACACACAAAGAACAAACTGATAGAAAACTGATTTGCATCTGATAGCCTAGTATGGGGCTGAACGTTTTTGTCCCAAACCTTCCTCGGTTATACTTTTAGATGCTCTATGTCTCTGTACACTGAAAGACCCAAAGTATTTAGTTTCCCTTTCATTTAAAGGAACATACGAATATCTAAAAATAAAGTTTAACTGGCCCGTGTAGTCTATTTGATAGTTTCTTTTAACAGTGTTGCTGTTTTCTTTCTGAAACTTTCAGATTTCAGCTTAATTGTTTTCCCCATTATGAAAGTGTTGATCTTTTTCCTAAAGGGATCTACTATCTGATAAGCAGGCTGGTATAAATCACCTGGCTGCCAAACTTTCTGCTGAGCTGCTGTCCCAGATCAAGGTAAAGTACTGCTCTTTTAAATCAACAAACACGGGTGTGATCTGTTCATTCAGAAGAATCTGGACTTAGAATGCCTGGATGATGGAGAAATCAGTACCTAATTGATAAAATAAGTACCACTGGTTCTTATACACAACAATCTAATTTCCCAGAATGTACAGAATTCATGAATGTAATAGTATAAACTGGGCTCATCTGAATTAAAAGGCAGAAATTCTCCACAGAATTCTGATTAATTTTATTTATTCATGTACTGTCCCACATGGTTGAGAATGATTGTCTTTCATGACCTTGAAGGTAACTAATAACAAAAACAGGGAGTCTCTGGAATGTGGAGTAGGTGTTGTGTGGAGAGGTGTCAGGCCCAGCAGGTCCTGCACTGCACAATCCAACCAAATTGGTTCTCTTCAAATCTTTCTTACTGTTTCCTTGTTCTGGCATCTGTGGCTCTAAAACTGCAAGAATCCTATCCCAAATATTCTACCTTCATCTGGTTTGGCAAGGGCCATAATCTCCCAGGAGTTGTTCTTCAGGATACATGTCTAGTTGATTGTTATTCTAACATCTACAAAATGTGTTTTTGTGTTGGCAAAGCCAGAAGCAAAGACATTTTCTAGGAGCCTGAAATATGACACCCTGAAGACATGACCTGCCCTACAATGCTGATAGCAGATGATTACTGCTTCAATGCTTGTGGTGCCTGTTTGAAGAGAATACTGAAGGTGGTGTCTGTCCTCTCATTAGATATGTACAATCTTTTGCAAACAGCATGATGACATATGACTCCTTTTAAATGCTTGAAGAGTCTCTTGTAAGAATTATCTCTGTGCCAGATGATGACTTGAATCTTCCAGACATCACTATCTTGATCCTGTCACTATTAGATGGCTTACAAAGGATTTGAAGAATGTGCTGGAGATGAACATTGCTTAGTTTGAAGAAACTGTTGCACAACATCTTGACAGAACACAACCTGGACCCAATGACCACCGAGACCAAGACAACAGGAGGTCTCCTCCACTGCAGCCCTGTCCACCAGAACAGAACAGCTGTTAAGAGGTTCCATCCAGCTGGACGGCTGGTTCATCGTCCACCTGCTCTGCCCTTGAGGCCGCGGTGGCCACTGGCCAGCGTGCTGAGTATGGAGGATGCAGGAATCCTAACAGGTCTTCGATGTCACCAATGTGCTCCAGGACTGAAGGAGTCCTTCCTTGCATCACCTTATACATTCTGACTCCACATTACTCCCTATCTGGCTTGCGGTTATGATGAGAGGGTGGACTTCCTCAGCATGTAACATGTACTAATGCATTCATTTCTTCTTTAATAATAGAAATGCCTTCCCATCATTGAATCTGAGATCCAGAAAAAACAACAGGAAGTGGCAAATGAGTTGGAATCAATTGGAAGAGCCCCATATGATGACAGAGAAAACGTCAAGTTCCTCAGTGAAGTGAGTTGTCAAGTCTAACCTGAAGTAGCAAAATATAGCTTTTAGAACTTCATCTTAACAGAACTGCCTGTCTAGCTGGTCGTTTTGGAGATATTGAGAGTGCTGAGGTTAACATTTGGCTCAAATCTGAAGAGCAGTGATTGCTGTGAATTTGAAGGACTATTAGTTAAGTCATCATCTTCCTTCAGACATTTCAATCAAAAGAAATATTGACTAGACTTAGTGAACAGTGGCTTATAATTTATTTCAGGTTAAGTATAGTTCCAACTAGAATGAAATTCCAACAGAGATAGCAAGAATTTTCAGGTACAATGTCACATAATTTATCCATAGATTGAATAAATAACATTAATTTGATGTAACAAGTAAACTTGTGTCTTTCCCTGCACCAGAAAGTCAGAGGGTTCGTCAATGATGTTATGGCACTGGTGAATGGTGATTTCTCCAAAGAATTTGTGAAGGAAACAGAGCTGTTCTGCTTCATTCGTGAGAAATTTTCAAAGTGGCATTCCAATCTCGAAGAAAGAGAAGCAGACAGTAAGTGTTTTGTTTATATTTTCAATGTTTATATTACAATGTTTGTATTTACAATATATTCACTTTTGTTCTTGTAAAAAGCCTATTATGGAAAAAGAAAATATTCTGTGTAAGCAGCTTGATTAGTTTAGAGACAATGACTGGGGCAGACATGCAAGTCTTTAAAACTGAGTACATGTGAGGCTGCTGTAATGACTTTGTCACAATAATGCTAGTAGAATTATTATTAGAGGCTGATTTTATTACAAAAAATTATCTCCAAAGAACTGTGTGATCAACAAACAAAACCTCTCTGCTGAGTTTAGAAAGAAGAGGGTCACCTGCTGAATAGCCAATGCTGGAGATTGAGGGAACAGTGAATCGAACGTTTAACTGTCTTAGTGAACTAATTTCTTGTTAATCTGAAACATTTCACTCCTGTAATTCCTGGCCAGTTGAAGAAAGCCTGTGCTCGAAGGCTCAAGAGTATATTGAAAGCTGTCGAGGGCGACAACTGCCGGGATTCCTCAACTATTCGGTGTTTGAAGCTTTAGCAAAAAAGTTCATCAAGGATCTGGAAGTACCGGCTTATAGACTATTGACCATGATTTCAGGTACTGTATGTTCTTGTTTTTTGAATATTTGAAGTGCACTGAACCCTTTTGGTTTATATGCAAATAAAAGTGTATATAATAAATATATGTGAAATAATATGAGAAGATATTGAGAGAAACTTACAGTGCATAATATGCATTCTACATATTAAATATTATTTATATATATATTAAATTTTCCATAATAATATTCCTTTATCAATTATAGATACATCTGATTAAATTTAATTAAGACAACATACACATAAAATCACAAAAACCATTACTACATCTATTACTTTCTACAGGAAATCTCTTTGGTTTATCTCCTGTTTGGAACATTGAAATAGCAGCTCAAATGACTCCATTCACACAATAGCAGAGAATCCATGAATGTGTCGTTCTACTTATAAATGTATTGTTTATGATATGTCTAATAAAAAGAAGAAAAACACTTTTATCTAAGAAGTATTGTATATTTTTAAAGCTTGTCTTGGAGATGTATTCATAACAGAATTTAACCAAGTGAAACTGGTGTAATTTGTCAATTTTTGAGTTTCTGAGATGTTTTAACTTTGTTATGGCAATTTCTAGATGAAGTCCAAGATGTTCTCAAAACAATGGCACACATGCACTTTCAGGGATTACCCAATCTTCTGAAGTACACAAAGGTAACTCCCTGCTGTCTCTGTGCTTACAGTGGTTTAATATGAATTGGTAATTATATTTAGTCAAAACCCAACAATGTAAAGTAACATACACAGATTAAAAAATGTAGACATTAAGGGTATCTCTTCATGTATTATTTCACTCCAGTTCTTTATTTTATTAATTTTAGTGATATGTTGCTGCAGCTGTGACGTTTTCTCGGTCCGTATTGTTATCCGTGTTACTCACACCAAACGGTTTGTTTCCAGGACAGGATTGCTGAAATCCGTGAGATGGAAGACAAGAGGTCTGGGGAAATGCTGAAGACACTCTTTAAGATGGAAGCGATGATCTACACCCAGGACGGCACCTATGCTCTGAAGCTCGACAGGGCACAGTCCTCAGAGGAGTTCGCAGCCCGGAAAGACAAGAGGACGGCATTCGACCTGAAAGCTGAGGTTTCTGCTCTGAAGATCCATTTGAAAACGTACTGCAAGGTGTGTGAAAGTGCCGGGCAAAGTCTTCACTCATGTGTCACTGACATTGTAGGTCTAGTCTTGGAACACAAAACGGCTGATACTGATACCACTTTAAAGATGTTCTATATTTGCTGTATAATAGCAATAGGGCGTTCACAGTCGCACTAATGCTGAACACAGGCAAGAGACGCAGCCACGTGCTGCTCTGAACACGTCGGGACCCCCACTGCACTCGGGGCTGCATGTCCGCGGTCTCTGAACAGATCTCCTTCCCCGCCCCGCACGCAGATTGCCTCCAGCCGCCTGGCGGACCTCGTGCCCATGGTGACGAGGTTCTACCTGCTGCATGAGTCCGGCGCCGAGCTGCAGAGGGGGATGCTCAGCCTCCTGCAGGAGAGGGACATTGTGGACGAGATGGTAGAGGAGGAGGAGGGCATCACCGCGAAGAGAAAAGCATTACAGGATCGCCAGGAGCGTCTGAGACACGCATATGCTTCTCTGGGAGACATTTAGCTACCAGGCAGACAGATTCATCTGCTTCAGGCTGTTCAAGTGTTCAGACAGAATAATGAGTGATCACTGCCCCTGGTGAAGGTGTATGTGCATACAGTATGCAGTTTAAAGACTGTTTGGATTTCTCTTCTTGACCCCTAACTCTACTGTTCCCACTAGTCCTAATTTGTTGAGTGTTAGCCCTTTTCCGAAATGTAGCCCTAACCTTACAGCCCTACTGTTATGCCCAGGTTATGCCTTTACAACCCGATACTGTCTAGAACCCTAACCCATACTCCTACCCCATAGACCATGTGCTAGTAGCCCTGACCCCCTCCTGTTGTAGATGTGTAGAGTGAGGAGCCAGGTTTCCAGCCCTAATTTTGCATGTCACTTGTTCAAGTAAACTGTTGAATTTATTTGTAAATGATGTCAGAATTGAATTGACTTAACAAATGGCTTGTTTAATTGGTCAAAAGAGCTTTAGAAATGGGTGATTTTAATGGTGACTTACAATACCTGTGGGATTGGGGTTCTGCAGGTCCCTGCTGCAGTGTTTTGTGTTAGATATTGGAAAAGCACAGGTGCTCCCTGCTTGAAGTAATGCATTAACGGAGTGTCCCAGGAAACCCAAGACAGCGGAGATCTTTATGCTTTTGACATCATGCAAATACTATGGTAGGGCACATTAACCCAAAAACACAAAGATCCAGTCTAAAGTACAATTTTATTCTGGCATCTACAACTACAAGTCCAGGACAAAGTAGTTTTTTCTCCCCTCGAGAGAGCTAGAGCTGTGGACATTCCTAACCTTTATATAACCAGGCTGAGATCTTCTAAGGGTGTGATCCACAGTGGCTACCTCAGAGACTGTTATTCATGTGTACAGAATCCCTCACTCTCATTTTTTTTTTAATTTTCATACTGTTCTTGATCCCTGACTGTTCCGTCTCCGGGTTTTTCCAGAACCTGCACCCCCTGCAGCTTGTCTTAACATCTTACTCTACTGCTTGTTAGTGATGGCACCAGCTTAGCATTCCTCTTGCAAGCGCAGGGTTCAGAGTGGGTCTATTGTGAGGTTTAAAATAAAAAAATACAAAAAAAATGTTTTTTAAAGCAGATAGATGCTTCTGAAATGACCACCTTTACTAAATACCGATACCCCAGTCTGTACTGCTGCTAACCAGGAGTGCTGTTCTGTTCATTCCCTCCATTTGTCTGAATGATGCACTTGGATTGTAACACTTCTGATTAAAGCATGATGAAACCAACATACGGAATAGCAAGAGCTTGTTTGTACAAGTATTGTATAACCACATCCTTTCCAAGCAAGCCTCCAGCCCACTCTTCCTCTTCTTCTCCAGTCCTCTCATCTTCCTCCAATGAGTTCGAGCGGCTGGCCTTATCCTTGCTCTTGTTCCCTAGTTTTCGTAACATGAATTCTGCATCAGTTTTATGGGGCTTCTCTCATTTTTCAAGGGGGGTTCCAGCAGCCCCCCCTCCATCTGGACGGGTTGATGGTCTCCTCAGTCAGGTGAGTTACCCCATTAAATGCCCTGTGTGAATCACACTTCTTCTTCACCCTCATCGGGGTTTGACTCCTGAAATGAGCACGTGGGAAGTTGTCACAGTATAACACGATGTTCTCACACCTGATGAAGGCTCCACAGCCGAAATGTTGCGTTTCCTTTCTTCTCTTTTCAGCATGGAATAAACCTCTACTTGTTCCTTTGCAGTCTACGCAGCTACCTACTTGAACTAATATAGCAAATAATACACATAATTCTTAGATTAAAACATACTTTTAAAATCATTAGGCATGTTTTAAGCCCAAATCTATTTGCTAGTTTTCTAAAATGATATTACCATCATGGAAAATATTTTTTAAAAAGCCACCGAGGTCTGGTTTGACACATAAATGTATTCTTCTCACCCCGATTTTCCTGGGTATCAGTCATGCTGTTGATGTACAGTATGAAGGTGTTACTGGCTCTTAACCCTCAGGAGGAGAGCCTCTCTGGGAAGAGAGTGGTAGTCTGCTGAGAACAGTCATGTCAGGACTGGAAACAGCAGTTTCCAGAACACTTATTCCAGACAGACCTCCACAGTACACAGCTATTCAGAGATCTTGTCAAACTTCAGTGGAGTTCTTAAACATAATACATAATGACAAATACTGGTGATCTCACAACAGAACATAGTGTAAAACTCAAAACAACTTTGGCCATACCTATTCTTACAAATTCTATAATAATATGTAAATTAACATATTTAATATTACATTTGTTAATCACTAACTATATTATAATAATACATTATATATCACATCGTAAGGATCATTTACTCAAATTAACATGCAAACTATTGCCAGATTTTAAATGTCTGAACTAAAACGTCGTTGACGAACGAAATGCTTTGCCAGATGTGGCAGACTATCACTCGAGCGGACAGCAGCATCACCTAGTGGCCAACTGGAGAATTCTCACTTTGTGCTCATGCCGGCAGGGCCTCGGACTGAGAGAAGAGGGTTAGCAGAGGGTCACAGTGCCAAGGGCCTCCTGTGAAGCACAACCACCATCCGCCAACCCAGCTCAGTCTCCTCGCACCGGACGTCCTGTACTAACTGGGCGATTTCACATGTTCTTCATGGTAGTTATACAGGAGAGAAGAGATCATTTTTTAGTACATCCTTCATTTTGCAGGGCATATGGTGCACCATTTTTACTTTGTTTTTGCATTGTTGTTATAGAAGGGATGTTTCTTTTCTGCTTTTCGGAGATGCTGTTGTTCTGATTTTTTATCAGGCTTCTGACCACCGCTGCAGTTTCGGAAAGGTACTTCCTGCTCCTCGCCCATGCCTTCACTGCCCCAGACGCCGAGTCGGGCGTCACGCCGGAAACCCGGAGGCTTCAGGTCAGACTCGTGGGCTGGGTGGCTGTACCTGAGCGCTCATGTGGTTCTAGGAGAGAAACGAACAGGGCCGAGGAGGAAAACAGGCTCCGCTGCGAACAGAACTGTCGTTATTCTCTTTCTCCCGCTGTGTGTGACGGAAGTGTTCTACTCACAAGCAGTGCCAAACTGTCATCTTTTTATTAAAAGATAATTACAAATCAGACTTTGACTTCAAAGTCCAGCTATTATTCAGCGATTGCCACAGGTTTGCGTGCTTGAAAAAAGCCTTCCAATGAGATTACAGCTGCTGTGTTTCCACCTTTGCTGCCTCAAGGTTGAAATGGTTACAGCTGACAGTGTTAAATTGTTTTTATGGCTTTATTAATATGCAGATAAGGGAAAGACAAGTGAAGTCCTGATGCAAGGCTGTTTATGGCTTTATCCTCAGTGGAGAGAGCGGGAGTAGCTGCAGGCTCAAACTCCGATCTGCTGGCTGTGACACAGTGGTCCTCCAGTTGTTTAAAGAGGCCCTGGTTAGACTAAATGCTAGAGAACACCCCTGAGGACTAACGAGTAGGGCTAATTAATTAAAACTGTGAAACAGCACAGAGAATCAGACAAGTTAAGGAAAACAGAACTCATTCCTAGGCTGTTGTTGTAGTTCACTGCCATGCAGTCAATGACAAAAATGTCTTAGAAGGAATTACAGTCAATGTCTGAGAAGGGTTTGTCCAGCTGTCAGAACAGAAAGAACTCTCAAACGGACTCTTGTGAAATTCTGAAACTGGTCAGAGACGTCTCTGCTGAGCAACACACCCCTGGAGCTGTACTTCTGCAGGCCAGCCTGCGTACCTGTTCTTCGATTTGTCCGAGTGGTTCATCTGGAAGGAAATTAAAACGATTAAAACAGCGAAGCACTTATGGAACAGCAAAGGCCCATGAGTGTTTTCCATAGCTGTAACCATCCTTCACTGAGACCATCCTAGATTATTTCTATGGACATTGCTGAAATCTTGAACCTGTAATACAACCTGATAAAACAATCTGATGATTTGAGAAGAATAACGTAACTTTGGGCCTTACAAAGTTGTGCTATTTACCATTGGGGCAAACTGCACATCCAATCCCAAATGGCCATCAGAGGCACACTTTCACTGGAGGGCAGTTTTATGGTCTCACACCAGTACAGTGTAGGAAACTGCACCAGATTTTTTCTGCACGAGATCAAGGAGGTTTGAGGTCGACAAGACAAGTGTTTACACTCCTGTAGCCTCTTCCAGGGCTGGCTGTGCACAGGGAACAAAGCACAGTCATCGGAAAGTCTCTTATGGACACACGAGGGATGGCAACAGCACCTTCTCTTTCTTCATGTTGGCAGGCAAGGAGAATCCTTTAGCTCCTACAAAAACCCAGCTTGAGCGGAATCCAATGTTTCGGATTTCTGTGCTGCCGAGCTTCTCAATCTCCTTCTTCGCTTCTTCAGTCAACCTAGTTTAGCAGGAAAGAACAGTGTTATGGTCCCAGCTTCTCCTTCGGACAAGAGTGCATGTATCCTGTGTCCTGATGTAACAATGTAACTGCAAGTAAAGTATGAAGACCTGAAGGCTTGTGTTTCTTCACTGTTCTTCTGAACTTCTTCACTTTTTGAAGCTTCCATCTGAATGCTGCAGTTTCAATGCTGAATGCTGCAGATGTTTCTTGGATTGTTCTACCTTCTATTAAAATCTGAAAGGATGTACCCATTACCTGCTATTCAGAGCCTTTATCATCTGACAAGTACCTCTTGAGAGGTACATTTTGGAGGCTTTATCTCTCTCAATAACACACATCAAACAATTTTTTGGTAGTCCTTTTTGAAATCTGTAAGAGCTTCCCGATTTTTAAGCACTTCTTCACGACTGGGAAGTTTTCACATCACTGAGACCGGCAGAGGACCAGAGCTCTTACTTGGTGCTCCCTTCATCGAAAGTTGCCATCAGAATGAAGGAGCCTGTGGGAATCTCCTGGATGAACTTCACCATGGCCCCAGAGTTCTCTGCCAAATTGAACATGAAAGCAAAGTTCAGTTAGACCATTAAAACTATCAAACACTCAACTCAAAAATTTTTAAAAGCCCAATTCTGGGCTTAGCCAGAACACTGCCCATCTCTCATTAGTCAGTATCAACGACACTGAAATCCCACGTGATACGTAGCAGGCTTCCTTAAAAGTAAACTGCAGTTTGTCATCCTTCTAACAAGCGACCACACTCGACTTCGGGAAGCTTCAGAAAAAGCCACATACCTCCCACCCACATGTCAAAGTGACGGGAAGCAATCCTCTTCCCAGATGCCGCTGAAAGACAGACACGAAAACGACAGTCACCGTGTGTGCAGAAGGGTGTGGATTGCACTGCAGAAATAGCATCTTAACAGGAACAAGCACTTTTCACAGTGAAAGAGTATATGATATATTCAGTTAACAGGATCAGAAAAAACAATGTTTTTGCAATAGTCCCCAGCTTGAAATAAACATTATATTCTAAGTTTGCAGTTCACTTTGTTTTACCCAGAGAAGCGTTCTTACTTTTAAAGGATTTCAGAACTTGTAAGTCAAGGTGATTTATTAGAAGTGCCACTAGATGTGTCTTCTATTCTTCTCTCGTTACAAAAAAGTGACAATTTTATTAAAAAAAGATACATGTATTGGATATTCATATACAACTATATGGTTAACTTTGGTTAAGGCGGGATCATCACAGACCCGATGAATTACGTGACCAAGTGTGGATCTGGGGATCCCAAAGTCAAATCCATACGGACTCCTACCATCAATGGCCACAATGTTCATCCCTCTTCCTGTGCCGTCCTTCCCTTTCCCAGTTATACTGAAAACAGACACATTGGCTCAGCATCAACACTTCCTGTTTTCACTCTTGGATAAACTGGCCCAGTATAACTGGTGTTCCAACAGCTCGACAGCTGTGGTCATCAGGCCTACACAAGTGCGGCTAGAAGCACTCTTTAAAGGCAATGCTAGACTTAATTTAATCATCACAGTTATCGGTCTGGATACAAGATCAAAATAAATGACTGAGCTGTTTGACTAGAGTATTGTTTGCTACAGTATGCACACATACTATAAACACATGACCAACAGCTCTGCTACAGTATCATCACCTTTCAAACACCTGATTTTTCTTTATTGTGGCACTTGAACGGAAATCTAAATCCACATAAAACCATATACTGTACCACATCTCTACTACAGCTTATAGCTAAAGGATTAACTAGACCTTCCCAGGAACGGAACTGCTCTCAGGTTTGTGCAACAGCTGGAGCTTTATGATCAGAGTAATACAACACCCCCCCTCGCCCCCCCCGCCCATGGACAAGTGTACTAACATCTCATCCTCAAAGCAGATTTTGGGGAACTTCTGGATCCCACCTCCACTTGCCACCTGGAAAGCAAAGCTTCCAGGTGGACAAGCAGACCAAAGGCTGCACTTCTGTCTTCTGGGAGCTGGAGCTGCCAAGGGGGAAACAGAAAATTAAACTTGCTTCAACAACAGCAGAAAGCATGTCCCCCTGGGCCGACTGCCCCCCCAGGTGTGGAGACTAAGGGGCACCTTGCAGAGCAGAAACTGCATCTTTTCAGCTACTTAGCCCAGGGAAAGTCTCCTTCAGTTGAAAAAGAAATTGAATAATTGAATCCAAGTTGAAGGTGTCATATTATCCCTTCTGTATGGTGCCAACAAAACTGGGAAAATGCCCAAGTGTACAGGCAGGAGACGTCTACGCCAGGATATAAAACCAGCAGGAAAGGCCTCAGCAGTGCTGTGTGGGGATGCTGACAGCTCACAGACCCACTCCCGCTGTTGTCAGCAAGTCCCAGAGACCGAGGCTCCTCGAGGACAGACTGAACGAGTTTCCAGACAAGCCTGGTTCAACCTGGACTTCTTTTCTCATTGTCGAGTTGTCTGAGTTTGAAGTATCTCACTGGTATTTAACAATTAAAACTATTAACACTTTATTAATACACAGTGCATTTATGTATTTACACATCCAGAAAGCATATAATAGGTTTTGGGGCTGAAAAACATAATTGGAGATTTAATAGACTTTCAGCACTAATGGACACCCCTTCCTCCGTTAGACTGTTAATCCAATGGATTACTGCACCTCATGCAAAACCCACTTTTGGCAGTTTTTGTTGCATGCATTTCACACTTCACTCTGAACAAGGGTCTGAGTCTCCTTGTTCTCTGGCCAGGAGGCTCCCTCTTAACCAGTGAGATAAAGCTGAAGTAAACCAACAAGTGCCAGGAGGATCAGAAACAAAATACAAGAGACAGAAGCGACTGCATTAACAGGCTATCATGATGTTACTGTAATCACGGAAATAAGGCTAAAAAGGTAGTGTTCGAGGTAGATCCATCTTAAGTGCATACACTCTGTTCTCAAGAGACAGGCAAGACAGAAGAAGGGGAGATGTGACACTATAGATCAAGAAGAGTCTTCAGGTTCAAGAACTAAAAACAGAGGAATCAAGATGGATTCATCCCACAAGTAAATAAAGTTAAAAAGCAGTATCCCAGATGGCTGAACAAATCCATTAGGAAAAATAAGTGCTGTTCCCATGGGTCAGGTAAACCATAACATTATAAGACGGTACCATTCATTTTTAACAAATCGTACACAGTATGTCAGGGTCAACAAAACTCTTTCAGAGTCACGATCTTTGAGCACAGGTGCCCCTCAGGGCTGTGTGAGCTCTCCAGTTCTGTTCACACTTTATACAAATGATTGTACAAGCAGTAGTCAAAGCAGTGTGGTTTGGTAATCTATCAGTTCATTTAAAATCGCAAATTACCCGTCTCATCCAGACAGCTTTGAAGGTCATGGGAGTGAAACAGCACCCCTCCCTGCAAACAATCTTTGAAAAAGCCATAATCAAACAGGCAGGAAAAATTATATCAGATCCTTCCCACATCCTCAATTCTGAATATCAACTTCTTCCTTCTGGCAAACGTTTTAGGGTTCCCAAATGTAGGTCAAACAAATACAAACATTCCTTTGTTCCACTATCCATTAAAGCTTTCAATGCAAATGTCAAGGATAAACACAATTTTGACTCTTACCACCCACTTGAGTGCAATATGTTTTGTGATGTGTTATACTGTACTGTACATGTGCAATAGAGTGATGTGCAATGTTTTTCTTTTTTTTTTGCAATCGAATAATGTGCAATGTTTTTCTTTTCTTCTTTTTTTTTGCATTCTATTTAAATATACAGGAGTGCTGTGTGTCCAAAAAAAATTTCCTCAGGGGACAATAAAAATCTTAAAGAAATTTAGTACAAGGACTTGAAAGCACAGTAAAAAAAAAGTTTGGAAGGGGCAAGAAAATAATATTTCAATGGAGTCTAAAATAAATGTCAAAAGGTTGTTGAATATAACAACAAAAGAATGCTACCTGGGAAAATAACCGGAAACTTCTAGACAATAAAAGGAAAATGGCTGAGTATTTTACTCTGGTGTTTATCGAGGAAGAGGTCAACAACAAAGTTCTGTATTAAATATCAGCGTTAAGAGTTTGGGATCCTAGAAACACACAAGATGAATATGTCCCCAGGGCCTGATGGTATCTGACCAGTTTTACTCAAGGAAACAAGATACGTTAAGCAAACTACTTAACACAATTCTTCCACCAATCAGCCAAGACAGGGGTCGGGTCCAGACACTGAAGAATTGTAACAGTCCCCATCCGTTAGAAGAGTGTCAAAACCTAACGATGTGACTGTGAACAGTTCTTTTAGTTGTGGAGGTGGAAGAAGCCACCCAATCAAGTTGTTTCTAAGCGAATACCATCACTTCTTTTAATAATCAGCCAGAGGAGATCTTCACATCAATGAGTTACTAACTACGAAATGGGCTAGAAGGGTCAAACAGTCTCCTCTCATTTGTCAAAGTTCTCATGCTCTAGAAAAGGGAACAGGCCAACATTCCCTTGTGGAACACAAGGGGCCTTTTTGAAGGACAGACGTTTGCACAGCTATGTTCTCATGCCAAGCAGACCCCGGAGAAACAGGACCGCTAGAGTCTTACCTGTGACCCTGGGAACATCGACTGCCATTCTGTGAATGCCACTCACAGCGAGAGAGATGGCCTGGGGGGGCATGACGACGGAGAGCACCTGTCCCAGGTACCAGGCCAACACACAGCAGACCGCCAGAGCCAGCCCCCGCAGGAGCGCTGTGAGGGACAAGCGCGAGAGACGTTACCAGCCAGCCTCGCCTCCCGGGGACCCCACCCGCATGCTGACGGGCCTCATGGACTTATCAGCAATCGGCCACGTTGTCCATGTCAGATTCCAGCACCCCCTGGACTCAAATCTTAAAACAAAAAGATTTGAATAACCAAAAAGAAGATAAGCATGTATGGACAGCTTGGTACTGCAGTGGTTAGACTCAGAGGAATGGAGGCATGAGTACATCACCACACGTGCCAGGTGGTGGAGAACAGAGGGAGAGATGTACCCCACTTCCCCTGAAGCTGGACTGCTGTTACGGCACCTAAGCCAGTTGAATTATAGGACCCAATGTGGTGACTAATAGATCTCAATGAAAGCAAGGGGAGGTGGAAGGAAAATCTTATAAAATTCAGATAAATACTTATCCAAATCGCGGTTCAAGAGTCATGGTCAAAGACAGGCTCACTGGTCAGGAAGCCAAAGGTTCAGAAGCCAAGTACTTAGGGAGGAAATCTCGAGACAAGAGACGAGGAGCTCCACTTGGTGAGAACCAATACTGAGCGTTGAGGTGAAGGAGGTGAGGGCTCATCCCCAGGAGCTGGGTTCTGGGGATGAGGGGCTTTTGCGGCAACGCAGCCCCACTTGCACAAGAAAGATGGGAGGAGCAGTGGGCCGAACACAGAGCCTAAAGGACCAGGACAGCGGCACATCCTGCACCAACCAGCTTCTGCGAACCCCCAGACAAACACAGCAACGCTTCAGAGCTCAACCAGGATGAGAAAGACACAGCCGAGGAGACACAAAGAAAGACCTGTTAAACTGTAAATACAGGTGCAAACACTCCAGCGTGCCTGGGGAGCCTGTTTTCATTCCCCGGAGGCCAGAAGCAACACTGACCATGCAAATGAGAACGGATGTACAGACACAGACTTCATGAAAAACCTGCTTCAGCTGTAAATGATCTGGAGGTTAAATAAAATAAATCTACAAACACATAAATACAAACAGTAGGAGATGTGACACAGAAACTAAATTAAGAACCACAAAGATACTGCTCCAGCTGTCACGGAGAATTACAGGTTGTAAGCGGGATCGCTGACAATGTGAAAAGGATTGAAAAATCCTGTCCTCGAGCCCCTGTTGCACTTCACGTCTGAACCGGTCCTTCGGGTTCGCTGGACAATAAACATTCAGGATGTGAAAAACTTGCATCCCCTCTCACGGCCCCCGGTTCGAGTCTAGAGAGATGGAGCTCAAGCCCCGAGCCCCGCCGCTGAGGCTCACAGGCTCACTGAACACTCTCTTCACTAGCTGCACCCACAGTTTCATCACTGGCAGATTTTGCAGGAATGGGGAAAGTGGTATTAAATATGCATATTAAGAAGAATAAAAAGCTGTCAGTATGAGCTGCTACAAAGTGGTCAGTAGCTAAAATACTTACACACATTCTTCAGGAATACAGACATTCCAGTCTCCATAAAACATTGACAATTCAAACTTTGTGGGTGAGCAGCTGTGAGGAACAGGGCGGAGGCACATTTCCAGGTATTGTGTGCAGATTTCCAATGCACACTGAAAAGGTGTAACCGACCAGTTAACGAATAAGGAAAAAAATCAAGGAAAATGTGTTTACAACGAAAATACAACCACCAAAAAATTATAGCATGAAAGACATGTAAATAAAAAATCTTTATCAGGTAATGTTTGCAACACAATAAAAATCCAACAGATTAAGGAGATCAACCATAATGTCATTAAATACGTGAATTACAGGTCTGTGAATTGAATTAATGTCATGGGTGGTAACCTCTGCTTGTTTTTTACAGAGATTCCGTAGCAATGTAATTTGTATATTATGGTGACTAAAATGCTCATAATACCGTATTAGTAAAATTGTGCAAGCAGTTTCGAACATAACCGTACAAATCCGTACGCACTTGCGTTAACAATGTGAATGAACTGCCAATAAACTAAACTGATGCCAGCAGCAGCACGTTTGTAGTCTGGCGGCTGAAGAACTGCTGAGAAAAGCCCTTAGTACAGGAAACATTTCGGCAAGAGGATATGGTGGGTTGTTTGAGTTTCGGCCTGACCTGCGAGACGCTGCTCTGCGGATTTACAATTCAATATTTTAAAACGGTTTTCAAATACTGGGATCAGGCCAATATCTCCGGACCCCGATTTCTGTCACAAATTCCTGCCCCAGCACAGCCGCCCGTTATGAAGTGGTTCTGCTGCCCGGACTTTGATGAAGTGCTGGAAAAACGACATTTCTTAAACATAATCACAGGCGTCCGTTATTTGCAAGTCTAATAAGTAATAGTACAGCTACAACGACCTTTATTCTGACAGGAATAATGTCCAAATTATTTATTTTTCAGTACTTACTTCCTGGAAGTCTGGCACGACAGACGGGCATACTGTACTTCCCAGCCAGCGGACTCTCACCCGTGTTTCACCGCGTAGAGAAAGCAGTCAGAACTATTTCTGTCAGGCGCATGAAATTCGGATTAATTTCTTTTTTTATTATTGTGACAGTTAGATGCTCCAAGAAAACGCCTACTACATATCAAAGTTTGCACCGGGACCGGCGCAGTAGCCTGTTCCAGCTCTGGGAGCTCAAGGCCAGCTTCATGTGTGAGTCATTGACACTCCCACTGCACACAGCCAGGTGCTGGCTGATGCGCGACACTTTTATATATTTATTTGCAGTCAGGTATGTCTTTACGACAGTGAGAAGTCCGTGCTGATCTCGATGTTTCCATTTTGTCATTAGTAACAGGGTGGTAAAGGAGCTCAGGAGACGCGTGTGAAAGGATGCACCGGGTCTTTGCGCATGGTTATTTTTGCGTTTCGTTTGACCGTGTTTTACACTAATGTAACGCAACGGGGGTTCAGGCGGGCGCCCTTGCCGCATTAGGTCGGCCCCTCACCATCGGGGGCTCAAACCCGCGACTCCCGCGTCACTCAACAGGGACCCAGCCCGGTGAGCCAAAGAGAGATCTCTCTACAGCCCAGTAGCTGTAGTCCTGCTATCACAGGGAAGGGCGGCGACGTCACCGCTCTGGTAAGCTGGCTCTTACACACCATGATGGCCGTATGCGTTACACTAATATCATCCAAGTCCAAAGAACGCCAGACGTGTCACCTGGTGCCCAATGGATACCTGCGTCAGTCCGGTCAGCCCGTGATGTTGTTGATCTCAGAAAAAAACGTCTGATGAGCTTGAGCAGGAAAAGCCTTTGTCATCTGGGGCAGCTGACAGGGATTGTGCAGGGCCTTTCTGAAGCTGGCTTGACGGTCCTGCACCTTCCTTCCGTATGTGTGATTCAGCATCTCCACTTGAAAAGCCACACGTCCGGAGAACATGCTGCCACATGGATCTCAAAGTCCACTATGAAGGGTGTCACGGACAGCTGTTCACAGCGACCTCCGTCTGAGGTGACAACGCCCGATGAGGGTTTGTCTGTGTTCACTCCATCCTCAGCTGCGTTTCAGGTTTCTTCTCCAGCAAGTGCGACGGTCCTGTTTTGTTTATATTTACCCAAACAGCGCCCTTTCAAGCTTTCTCTCATGCCGAGTTTCGACCCAGTCTGTTGGGAAGTTAGCGTTCTTGATTGCCCACAGAAGGCGAGGCTAAATTGCCCCAAGTGTGACCCAACACAGCAGCTTGTGTCAGGACGCACGTCCTGTGTCTGAGTGCTGACATTTCCTGCTTAGTATTGCAACGCATACGGCCTCCATTGCTTGTGAGAGCCGGCTTACCAGCGCGGTGACGTCACCGCCCTTCCCTGTGAATAGCAGAGATCTCCCTTTAGCTCCAGAGGCTGGGTCCCTGTTGAGTGACGCCGGAGGCCCGGGTTCTAGTCTATTCTCGGTTTTCCCTCTATCTTCAGAACATTACTAGAAATAAGATGGACAGGAACACACCTGAGAGGACACAGAATAAACTCTCAACTTAAAGAGTGTTAACTAAATTTTCAGCTCCACAATCTGCAGTCATTAATGTGGCTATGGACAATAGTGTCAGACCAACAACCTTTAAAATGAATGAACAGATTTTAATATCTCATCTTGCTAGAAGTCAGAAACTTTGATTGACATTCTTTTATTAAACATAAGTTTTAAAAAAACTGCAGCTTTTAAATTAAATTACATTTTCCTTCATTTAAACATTTAAGGAATGAAATTCAGGAAATCAGAAAATAATGGGGCTGGATTGAATATTATAAAGATGAAGATATATTTTAAATATTATAACAAGGTCAGTAGCTTTTTTCTGAAAACATTTCTATTAACTTTCCAGACTGTTGAATGAGCAGCGTGATCTTGAGTGTTCAGAGAAATGTTTTAATGAAACACAAATGGTCCCAGACTAGAAAAGAGGCTTGTCTCTCAGTGCACAACTGCATGGCAGGTGTGTCACAACAAGTGTCAGAGCTTTGACTTAAACCAAACCCCCTTCAATGTGCTTTTGTGCTCCAGAAGAGAAACTGCTCAAACACAACAGTATGACAGTCAAGCTTCTTTCTCCGCTGGCTTCTTTAAACTGGAGTACCAAGAAATTTAAATGCAGTTTGCAAGGAAGCTTCTAATTAAATTTTGCTTTGGAAATACCTAATCCAAAAGTCTCTTTTTTGGTTTCCTTCAGATACTTAACATTACCTTGAGTTTACAGCAACTGCAACTGTCACTTACGTACAGATTTAGGTGAGGTGACCACAGAAGTACAGTGCTTTTTTGTAACAGTGTGTGAAGTAGAATATCAGTACATCACCAGATCACATGTTTCGCCTGCGAGAAGTTAAAATACCAACAGTGAAGGCCAGGTCGACCAGCCATCTGAACCTTTCTGGGTGTCTTTGATGATCGTGTTTGATCAAGAACACTATTACTTTGTAAAGTGAGGATATATGTGCCTGTGGTATGTGCAATCATCAGTTCAAAAGGAAGACAGCTGATCGTTGTTCTCCCCCCAGTCTCTTTCCTTGAAGAGCCTTGCTCCCAAGTACAACCAGTAGCGTTTGTTCGGCCTCTCTCTCTCCTCCACGTCACTTGAAGCGGTTCCGGACGAGCGACGATGCGTCTGTGATCTCTCCGGGGTCGTCCCCACGGCGACAGCGGCAGGGCAGGAGCAGCAGGATGATCAGCACCAGCAGGGCGATGGCGCACACGCCCATCAGCGCATAGGAGATGATCCACAGCACCGGCTCCTGGAGTACTGGCACAGACACGCAGTCCGAGGAGACATCCAGCGCCGAGAAGGGGCCTGCGATCTCCGACACTGGGGACCCACTGCTTCCTGTCGAACAAGGACGCGCATCGAACAACACGCAATTAAAGACCAGGCAGGTGCTTCTTACCAAGATTTAGGGAAGATTGGGGAGATTTAGCCCTTCCCTTCCCAGAATAAAATGGCCAGAATTTAAAGAGCAAGTCAGTACTGTGCAGCTCTACAGATCATCTGATTTTATAACAAAAGGACATCTTTTATGTAGTCAGAAGAAAGGATACAAGCTGGAGGAAAACATTCAATACAACAGGTTGCTTATAACTAACTGATCTGCAGATCTCATCCAGCAACTTCTAGAAGGAAGTCTGTGCATCAGCCACAACAGCATGGGGGGGGGCAGCTTGTCCCAGGCTCCCACAACCCAAACCCAACATTTCTGAGAGCAGCTGAAGTTATATTTAATCACCCAAGCCAAACCTGTCCATCGCTTCGTATTTACACTGGAGGGAGGGGTATTACCCGGGCCGTCATGTATCTGGCATGAACCTCCTGCTCATCTGGGGTACTCAGGGCAAACCCCACCTGGACAGCCCCTCACCTGCGCAGGTACTCAGGGCAAACCCCACCTGGACAGC